TTATAGGAACTAGATTAGCAATTCAACATCGAGTCAAAGCCAAAGTATACACATGATGGATTCAACCCAACCTGCTGCCTTAATAATTGGGATTTCTTTAAATTTACGGAAACAGCAGTCACGCTGATACAATTACTCCTGTCTCCGACTCTCCCGTCCTTTTCCTTGCTTATACCTACAATTGAAAAAAGTGAACCGTAGACCCGCTCTGGTCCTGTTTCTTCACTTCATATTTGGTTTGTTTAAACAAAATCTGTGCCAGTGCAGTAGCTCTTCTCTGTTCTGTTGTGTGGTTGCAGATCAAGAAAATATATATGGGAAATGATCGGCATCGGAAGACTACATTCCTGCCAATGCTGTGCTCGAGTTCGAGATCATCCATCCACATCCACGACCCTTTCTCCCCCAGGATCAGTTGCACCGGCCAAATCAAGAGGCACAACAAGATTGCTGGAATTCCCACTCCTCAGCTTCACCACCACCACCGCCACAACAATGTCAAGTATTTGAAGCTCAAGAGGCTTTTCTCCTCCTCTTCTTCCTCCAACTCAAGTCCTACTGCCACCAAAAAGAATGAACCCATGAGTACCAGCATCAGCATCGAGGAATTGGATCCCCCTCTGCCTGTGATCAAGAGAGCTCCAAAAGATAAAGAAGAGAAGCATCCACACACCCTCTGGGAGAGGAGATCGGGTGGGGTTGAATTGAGAAGTCTACAGCTTCAACAAATCCAAATCAATAGACATTGTCTTCAACCCATCACCACTGTTTGAGAGGTAAATTAATGCCATGCCATTGTATTTGGGGAGTTCCCAGAATTGAATTTATGCATTGTAAAAGTTGTACACCTTTTTTTCACCTTTATGTAAAATCTATAGTTACAAACTCTGGGGAGGAATTAAATTGCATCTTCCTCCACTCCAGCCTGTGTGCTGTCAAGTCCCGACTGCTGTAAGTGAAATAGTATCTTCAAAACAAATAAATAAATAATGAACGAAGAAAGTGGTGCCAGAACATTTTGTTAGAAATCTGAGTGAGGGCAAAGAAATTGACAATAAAGATGTGCTTTTTATCTATCAATTTGATCTGATGTAAAAGAATATATACATACTCTGTAGTCTATACAGAACAAGCACAGCAGGCAACACCTTTTTGATAAGCAGATAGCTTTTGTCCCACTCTATTTCTTGCATTACATTCCCATTCCCACTGTACATTTACTCTCACAATGAATATACAACAAATGACGCCAAAACTTCCCACCCAAAGGCGGAAATCGCCCCAAACCCTCATCTCCACCATTAATTCTCCCAGCCTGCTCTGTAATCAAATAAATCAGGATCCACCGCACTGAAAGCAGTTAGGCTGGGGATGGAGGCCAAAGAAGGCTGTCTGAAGCCTCCAGCAAGGAAATCATAACTGATGAATTCACCTTGCTCTATCCATTGTGCTCCAGTGATTCGCCAGGAGTGGTCTGCTTCTCCTTTGGAAGGCAATCGACTGGAACATAGCAATATCCTTTTGGTAACCGTGAATTCTTCATAGATGCTTCATCAGATGTCATCACTAGCTCTTTCTCAAAAGTTTCAATATGCTGAGATTAATAATATAGTCTCAACATTAGCCTAAATTCCAGTTAAGAATAATTAAAACAAACAAGTATGAAGAATGTAAGCTAAACAATATGATTGATACTGGAAATAATACCTTTCTTGATGTTGAGCTCCATCCTCCACCATCTGAAATATTACGGGATGCAAGGGAGTATCTATGGGGGATTTGCTTCCCAGAGAAGGGCACCCTCTCTGTTGGCTTTGGAGCAAACAGGTTTTGGGAAGTAGAGCTATCGTCAGTCCTTTGATCAGTGTCCATGGACACAGGAAACTTTGCTCCATGCTTAACAGAAAGAGTACTGTCCACTGTCACATCATCTGATCGTTGGACAGCTTCAGTGCCTGATCGGAAACCACCAGCTGGATGGCCTTTGAGAGAGGTAGTTGCAGATTCTGAGCTAACCTCTGACAGGATAAATGGACTGTGAACAAGCAATGAACGCGTAACATGGTCCCTTTTGCAAGCAAGAATTTGATGGGAGCAAAGAACCAACTCCCTCTGCATACACATTCACAATTGTGTTCTCAATAACTCATTTCATACAAAATGGAGAATAGCTAACACAAACACATACAGATAAAAACCACTTTGAACATGGTCTACCTTCAATTTTTCACGTTTGATAATTCTCTCACAGAGAAGCCGTAACCTCTCCAATTCAACCTGTAAAGGAGAATATATACATAACCAGATGACTTGACATATAAAAACAGGCAAAAATATTAGGGTTTCTAGGTAATTATTTCTTTAATTATTTTTGAAGGAAGATCAACAACAAAGAAATAGATAATCAGAAATGCCCGTACCCTAGTTTGCTTCATGTGTCTTAACTCCTCAATTCCATGCCTTTGAGCTTCAGCCTGTATAAACAGAAAATTGAGACATTACAAACAATGAACAAAGACCCATAACAAACAATCAACAATACAGACAAATTTATGACCTTTGCCTTCTGCTCCAAGCTATGCTTTTCACAGTAAGCCTTGTGCTGCAACTTCCCACCACCAATTTTCACATTCATGAAGAAACTGGAACTTCTGGCACATGAGGGATGGAATGTTGTCTGACAATTACCATAACTACACTGCCAACCATAGATATGATGTGGTTCAGGTACAATCCATCAATTAAAGTAGCTACTTGAGGTTAAAACATCACATAAAAGGCAATCACAAAATCACAAACCTTGATACACACACCGTGTTTGCGATGGCATATACAGCAAACATTGATCCCCTTAGAAACATTCTCCTGATATTGCAACAGACATTTACATAAGAACAACAAGGCTTGTCAGCTCATCAACCTTACCCAATGAAAAAGAGAAAAAAAAAAATTTATTTAACCATGTAAAAGTGCACACACCATTCCTTGAACAGGATTTACTTGTCCCCTCCTGTATGAAGATTCAAGGACCCACTAAAAAAGAGTAGAAGTCAAAGTTAATAGCAGTTCAAAAAAAACAAAGGCAAATAAAAGTTTATGAATCAACGAGGGACATTCACCTCAGCGCAGAATGCATGGACCCACTGACCATCAATGGATTTCCTAAAAGCACCAGTAGTGCCACCACATAAACCACATCCTGCTACAGGAAAAGGTTTATCCCAGAAATTGAAAGACAGAGCCCCAGCGGACCTAGATGACAATAATTCTTCACATAATTCACAGCACCATAGACCAGTGGATTCTTTAACATTGCGGTAGCAGTCCAAGTGTACTGCAACCTGTGTAAGAAGGGATTAGTGAAAATAAAAAACTAGATGGACACAAATTTTCCAGGGAGGAATGTTAGAGATGCTAAGTGTTCCGGATATAAAACCTTGCAACTGGAGCAGACTAAGATGGGATTCAATATTGTCTCAGAACGTCTGCAGATGTCACATAATCTAGGATGCTCTTTAGAAATATCTGACACAGATAGAATAGAATCAGAGTACTTGTCTGATGAAATCTTAGGACCAGCCACCCTCGAAAGTGTCTCCTTTGCCCGTGGCATTGGCTGAGAGCTAACACCAGCCCTCCCACTAGAAGCATTCAGCTTCAATGTGTTCTGTAGAGAGGATGAGACATTATTAGATAGTATTCTGGATGCAAGAATGAAAACCAGGTAAACAAGAAATCATAAAAATAACCTCATGATGACCAGGGTCTTCTAAGGCATCTTTTCTGGATGATAAACTCCTAGAAGAAGCAGCCGCAGCAGCAGTTGCAGCAGCAAGCACAGCCTGGGCCTCCTTATGCTTTTTCTCTTTCCTACCCTGCTTCTTAGCTTCTTTTAGCTCATGAAGATACTGATTAACAAGTACAGCATCCCATCTTTGCTGCCTTGATGATTCAATCTTCTCTGGTAGTGTTTTAGTAACCCTATGAACTAAATTATCTGCAAGGATAAATCATATAAAATACAGGCATGATAAGTAAACTAAAGACATAGATACAGACATATAAGCATAGATACCAATACAAAATTAACAATGAGAAAAACTTCAAGAAAAAAACAGTGAATATGAAAATATAACTGAGGGCAGAAACATGAGAAAAAGAAAAAAGGAAATACTGGTAACACAATTTGTTGCAACTGCATTACGAAGCAACCTATGCTGATAATAAATGATTTCTCCTTCTACTTCATCTTCAGGAGATAATTCCAAAACACCCATATTCTCAGCCCTGACCAGCTGCTCTGAATCTAGTTGGTCAGATTGACAGATCACATCGTTGCACGTCAATAGTTGACTTTTATGATTACAGAAAATGATTCCATTGCAAGACAGTTCTCTGTGGGAGGCATATCCATTCCCTGAACCTGTGAGGTAACATGACTCTTAGACCTGGCAAAATGGCCAGCAGAAGAAAAAAGAGAAAAGGGATCAAAATTGATGCGATAACTTACCATCTAAGTCATGAAAAATGTCTTCTTTGCCTCCATGTAGACTGTTCTTAGAAAGCATCAAACTCTGCATCTTAAACAGCTTCTGTATATAGGGATGAACATACATACTAGAACATCCTTCAGCTTTTCTGCATAAGATTAAAAAGATATATATTCATTTATTATTATTTTTTTAAGTAAAAGAGTCTTAAAAATAATTTCAACTTTGACGTAAAAGGCAAGTGTATCCAAAGCTTAATAAACAAAAAGAATTTTTTCAGAAATAAAGCAGAAACTAATTTGTGAATGTTACATGAGATCGAGGAGAACTGGATTCACAGATGAGCAAATGGGGCTTCCTTTATCTGAATCAACTTGATTTGTGAATGAGCAAATAGAGGCTTTACTTGAATCTTCTGATATTCCTTTGATGTGCTCATCTTTACACTCAACCACTGTCCCATTGCCACTCAAACTTTCATCCGATGAGGATGTAACTTTCTTCTCCCTCAAAATCCCAACATTATTTTTGGTTCTTCTCCGTGGGGGAACTGACTTAACAGCAACAGAAGCTTTTATATCATCCTCTGAGACCATTACATTGTTGGAAATATCATCTGTCCCACTTCCATCCCTTGATGAAACCAAAGATTTTATTCTGCCTAACTTTCTCTGTGAGGTACCCATAAACGCATGATCTCTAAGCCATTTTACTAATTTGCATCGCAAGTCAGGTGCCAGGTTACCATCCTGCAAAAAGAGAGCAAACAAGTCAGAGAAAAAGAACATTCAAAAAGAGAAATTGACCAAAAACTGGATCGCTAAAATGGCTTCCAAAAACCAATAATAAAAATAAGTAAATCATAGTATTAATTACATCTAATTTTTCACTTAATGAATCAGGAGAGATGCCAATCTCTGATGCTATATCTTTAAAACTGACTTTCCCTCGCTCAATTAACTGCAAAACCAACAGATAGTAAGAAATCAAGATGGGTAAGAGTTAAGATATAAGAATAAATACATCAACTCTCGTCAAAGAATCGTGTTTTAAATACCTTCTTCAAAACCAATGCTAAATTAAGGGTGTCAGATATGTTAATGTCTTCAGTGTTACCCCTCTCTGTCAACCCTACATCAATATGCGCATCACATTCAGATGCCACTCCAGCATTTAATCTAGAATCCAATAATTCCACATTCTGTGATTCAGTATCACCAGATACACCAGCACTGTTATCAGGAGTTTCTATGTGCAATGCAATTCTATCTCCATTTTTTACACCAAGCTTCAACTTTTGAGATTTCTCCATTGGTGATGCCCCTGTAGGATGATTGGCAAATTCTGAGTCATTGCCTGCTGTACAACGATCTCGTAATTGCAGGGAGCTGCTGTGATCCTGGACATCTGAGTGCTTTGAGCAAAAAGCTCGTAATTCAACCTATTAAAGAATCATAAAAATATAATTTTATAATCAGAAAGCCTAAACAAATAATAAGATAGCAGTATTGATAGATGGCAAAATTTATATAAGAAGAATTTAGGCTCTATTAAACAGTTGAGGAGGCTTACATTATCACAGCCATGTTTTCCCCAAACTTCCATTCTATGCCTTGCCTCTCTTGCACATATGGGATGAAATGAAGTTCTGCAGGTTCCTGAAAAGACAACACAACAATTAGAATTATTACCAATGGAAGCACCAGTACACCGCAACCATGTTTATAACCCCATGAAGATGGGTTATTGGTAAAGACAGAAGCAACACAAGAAAACAAACAGTATCTTGACCAGCACAAATCAAGATCTCTTTTTAACCTCACCTTCAATCCTGTCTTTCAACCAGCCTAAACTATCCACTGAAAAAAAAAGGCTAGTACCTTTGTAGATTAGATCATTGATTGAGATTCCCAATTCAAGATAAGAAAGCATAGTCAGTAAAGCATAAATATATAGAGTTTGGCAGCTTAAAAACACAAGATGCAGCAAAATGATTGTTAAACTCTTGCGAACAGAGAAGAAAACTCTCCATCAAAATTTCAATTTGAATACTTCACCTGTTGACCAGTTTGGTTCAAATTGAATAGCAAGGCAAATTACAAGCACGAAAAGTGATCAACATGACATAAATTCACAAAGCTTGTTCATAGTTCTATCTTGCATGAAGCATCAAGCAAGACAACTAGTCTCATGACATACTACACAGGAGAAAAATGAATTCCTTTGTTTTATTAGATTGTAAGACATTTCTACATGTCACTTAAAAGGAACAAAAAAACATAGACACCAGCAGTTTCAAGATACAACACAAACACGACCTAACTCCACAGCCTAGCATATGGCACAGGGCCACATAATTCAATTAATAGGATGCTCTCCTGATGTACCAACCAAAAGAGAAATGAAGAAGAATTAAATTAAAAACAAGTTGGCAACAACAAACATACCATGACTGCATTGAATACAGGCACCATACTTCACCTTGCATACGTTACAGACCAGTTTCCTCCGGGTTTCCTTTATTCCTTCCATATTTATAATTGGCTCCATGGTAGCCAAGTCTTCAATATAGGTCTCAGGCATCCATAGAGAACAAAATAAGTGAGCAAACTCCACTGACTCCCCATTTTCCACACTCTTCTGGATTGGTTTTAAAGCACCACTCTGCTTTGGGCAAAGCACGCAAGATTTTACCGCATCACTCCAATTCTTCTTCTGTTCACACCAAGAACACATCCAAGAACTATCAACAACCCTCAGTACACCATAGCACTTCTGATGAACAGAAACCTTACATGAACTGCAGATAATTAATTTGTTCGATTCATTTTTAGTGTCTCCCGCGCAGCAAAAGTGGCAGAGAAAGGAATTGTCATTGGATGGAGGGACAATTAAGATTTTCTCCAAGCCAGCATCACTCCCAAGAAGCTTCCGCTTCTTTGACGGGCGCTCGGAAGTTAACAAAACCCTACTCCTAGAACCTAAAAGCCACTCTGTGCCGCTGGATGAATCTGAAGCTGAGGTCTCTTTCTCTTCCTTAATCAAACAATCAGCTCCTGCACTGTCAATTTCCATAAAATGCACATTGTCCTCTTTCGAATCATCTTTGGCAACGCCATTATCATTACCAAACTTCACAGCCACAGTGTCTCCACAACTCGGTTCCACCTTCACCCCTAACTCCACATCCACATTAGTTGAAGAAGTCCCATTTACACTAGGCTCATTTCCCACGTAAGGAATGAAGAAAGACTTCCTTGCTGCTAAAAAGCTATGGGAAGAAACGTCAAACAAAGTATCAATATCTTCCAACCCCAAGTCCCTAAAATACACTTCGGTCTCATCCCAAATGTTTCTAACCCGAGCCTTTTCATTCTGTCTTGAGGACTTCTTATCAGCACCAGAATGCGACTTCTTATGCCTCTTCCTACTATCAGACTGCTTTAAGAAACTAGCCAGAGAACTCGGCAACGTAGGAGGACTCAACGCAGAAACAGAGCCATCCTCCGGAACATCATAAGGCGAACGCTCGCATAGGGTCTTGCGCGCCTGAGAGAAGAAATCCATGTCACGTGACACATGTTTCTTGAAATTATCAAGCTGACCCGTCGGAATCCTGGCCGGAACCCTAGAAATAGGGCGACAAGACCTCTCTTCCGCGCCGCATCCTCCATCTGCACCTCTACCCATCATCTTCTTCCGCCGTTGGCATCGGCCGACGGTCATCGCCAACGCCCACCACCGCCACTGCTAACGCCAAAACGGCCTACACATTCCATAATCGAAAACACTCCAGGAATCCCAAACCTAGCTACAGTATCAGTCTTGTAGAGAAAGGGAAAGGAGCAATTGAAAGAGGGATATACAGCGGCTAGGGTTAGGGTTTTTTTCAGTTATTTTTCTGGTTCGGATCCGTTTCGCCTAATCGCTTCGTGGAGAGAGAGAGAGAGAGATTCGCGTTTTTTGCAGGCAGTAGAGACGGTTCGTTTTGGGTCTACTAAACCTTTTATATGGGAGTTTAGATAGTGTGTGGTGATGCAATACTTGTGCATCCCTGTGATACCGTTCATTTTTCCACGTGGCATGTAGACATTCGTCCAATGGACGCTAGTCCACCATGATCCAAGCTGGAGTCTCTCCAGCTAAATTAGTATCGGTTGTAAATTTATAATGCTCTTTTTCCCCCTTCCTTTTCTAAAACATTTTGATTTTGTAGTGTGTGATTTTGGGAGTGGGGAAATGCCCTTTGCTATCCAACGTTTTTGGCATGTACATGGGGGAATAAGGTCACAACTTGTCTTCAATTTTCAATCAAGGAGAGTATCTTGTTTTGTTTCAAATAAGGGCGCCAACCTCTTGTTTATTTCTAAGCCCAACCAACATTGGACAAAAATTGGTCACATGGCAGTTGATGGTTGTTTGAAGAACTCACTTGTATAGTGTGGTATTAAATTACAAGTCATTACCATGAATTTTTCTACATAGATATGAGAAAATCAAATTATGTGGATGGAAGTATATTCTCACAATTACTTGATTTGAATGGTCAAGAACGATGTTGTATATTGAAACTATTCAAGGAAATTTTTATTAATTAACTCAAGTTAATAGGTGTTATACAAATTAGGTTATTAACCGATTAAATAGTAAATAAATATTAAAATAAGCTAAAGAACTTCACATCCTCAATTCATGCTAGAGATAGATGTAAACATAGGTAAAATGTGGTTGAAAGTTTAAAAAGACACTCTAATGCATAAGTTAGTAATAATGTAGGTATATGAAATTCTTGAAATGGCAAAATGACAAATGTTTGTATAAATATGTAGTAAAATTACTTAATTATGGTTCATTTGTAAACATGAGGCATAACATATAAAGTTTTGCCCCATTAAGCTCCTTTGAGTTGGGTTGAGCTTGTAACTGGATCAATAAACACGATACATGGGCCTAATAAGGGTTTTTGGTCGATCAGGACTTTTCTTGGATAACCGATATTTGCTTGCCTGAATCCCGTTAATATTTAGTACAAGCAATCTCCAAAGTAAAGTTCAATCACAATTATATTTTGCACTCAAAATCTATGTAAATCTTTTTCATAATAAAAAATATTGCGTTCATTGTTTTCTTAATGAACCAAGAGTTATAACCTTAAGAAAAACTAAACATTTCATCTAATGAAATAAAAAGGTACAAACTAAGTATTAGAATAAAAAAGAAATTGGCCTTATTTGATCAAATTGAGTTGTTTAAGAACTAAATTTGTCTTTAGATATTTTTAAACCTTATTCTAGCAATTATTAAAAATTTGAGAACTAAATAAGTGGCTTTCTAAGTATTTTCAAGAAATGACTCGTACAACATTATACTTCAATTACGCAATTTTATTGTTATAGTTTTTTATAGCATATAAATAACAATTAAATTTTATTATCAAATAAAATTATTCATATCATTATTCATAAATTACACAAAAATATTACGTGAATGGAGTATTATTTAAAATTGTGTAAAAAAACAAGTCTAAACAATAACTTAAAAAATGGAGAAGCACCTTTTTTTTCTTTTTTGTAATCATGTAATTAAATGGGAAAATTCTTTCATACATGTCTTTCATGTGAGTGTGAGTGCGTGTGGATGCCTACGCAGACATGTTTACTTGTGTCTGTGTGTATAATTTGCTAGTAACATATGAAAAAAAAGGAGCAAAACCCTAACATTAACCTCTTAAATTGACCCCATTTTTCGATTGAGACCGTAAGCTTTTTTTTAAAAGTAAATAAGCTTTTGAACCTCACATCTCTTGTGCAATTTTGTTGTCTTCTATATCTTTTTTCGTCGGCAACTTTGCAACACACCATTAAGAAAATGGCAAAATTGCACAAGGGTTTGGGGGTTTATCTACTTTAAAAAAGATCTAAGGGCTCAATTAAGAATTTAGGGTTAGTTTAAGAACTTAATGGCAGGTTTTGCCAAAAGAAAAATAAAGGAAGAAATCTTTTCTAGATAGGATGATATTGTAAGTCAATCACAACTTTCCTTATTAATTTTTTTTTATGAACACATTCCATATAATGAAAAGTGTAAATAGAAAGAGTTTGGTAGATAATAGTGGAGTTATTTTCATTTGGTGAAAAGAAAATACAAGGCAATGTTAGCTACAACTTTCTATATATTTTTTAATACAGAAATACATTCCATGTATCTAAAATCATGAATAGAAAGTGATGGTACAAAATGAATTAATTTGTTTTTTTTTATTGATATTATAATAATTGAAAAATGTAAGGAAATAAAGTGTGAAAAATATCAACTGTAGGTTTTCCACATAAAGTCCTACTTAACATTCCAATGGATAAGTTATATTATTCTAGAGCTTTATAAATACACCTAAAAAATATCAAAATAATGTCTCACAATACAAATAAAAAAGTGTTATTTAGGGCCGATCAATAAGAAAAAAAAAATATTTATAAAAATATTTAAATATTTTAAATAAATTATTTTTATCTATTAATTTATTTAAGATATTTAATAAATTTCATATGCATTTCTATACTTTTTTTTGCAAGTTGACTTGAAAATCTGAAACCTCTACACATATACATACATGTAGTTTTAAATTTTAATTAAGTGTTTATTAAAAATCTATATTAAATGAGTTGATACATATCTTGACATACACTCTAGTGCTTATAAATGGTCAATGATAATTATTACATAGCAAAATAGAATTGTGAATAATTATTCTTCAAATAAAAGCTTATCCGCTTTTTTTTTTCCCTCATAATTTAGGATAAAAAAATTAATGACAATGATACATATAGTTACAATACCATATACGATTATAAAGTTATAATCATGATGTAATATTAATATTGTAAAAGCATATAATATCACAAATAGGTCTTTAAATAAAAATAATCTGTTATATAATTACATGTTATGATATATTGTAAGCATTGTAATACGATGTGACATTATAGCTATATTATCTAAAAAAAATAATTGCAACATTTTAATAATATATAAGAAATTGCAAACTAAGATAAAGTTCTAAACCTACTTCTTACTCCCGCAATCCCATAATAGTAATAGTTATTTTTTTACTTTTTACCCATATTGAAAATTTGTAGGCAAATTTACTTATTGTCTATCTGGTGAGAAAGTAGAAATTAGAATTCAGGGAGGATAACAGTGGTATGATGGAAAAAAATATATATTTATTTATCTTAAAAATTAAAAAAATCACAATTAATTTAGGATAATTTTTTTTTTTTCAAAATGAATGTTTATTTATAGCTCCTCTTATGCTAAATGAAGTAATTTAAAACAAGTCAATTAATTGACTAAGTGGTAATCTATTTCTTGTGTGAATAAAATATTTCAAGCTCGAGTTGTAGACAAAAAATGTGGCAAAAGTTTACATGTAATTAACACTAGAAGTTACACACTTGTATTGCATAAGGAGTTGGAAACAGATAACTTTAATACACATAATTTTTCATTAACCATTCTGTTTTGTAGGTAAATTTGTTTAAGCTGCAAAGGAAAGTTTAGTGAATAAATCTTATGATGTAACTAACTATATCTACTTAAATGATTTCTAAAGAAACAGCTTATTAAAAACAATTAATATTTTATAATTAACAGGATAACTTACTCTAAATCATAGAAACACTATTGAGGGAACGATATCTCTTAAGCGCCTTTTCGATATTTCTTTCTTAGATTGCCAACTCAATCTAATACATCACCTTTCCCTTACCTAGCTTTTTTCCCCCTAGATTTTGTTATGTTATCTCTTTTCTTTTAAGATTGTTACATTATTAAATGATTATCACACATAATATTTTTTTAAAAATTTTAATAAAATCTAATAATCATAATCATTAGGTGGCAATTTAGAAGTGACCATTTTTACATGGCAAAAGTGAACCATACTTGCTAATTGACCTAACTCACCCATTTAAAATGAGTTATGGGTAAGAATTTTTTATAAGTAAACTCAATTAACCGTACACATTTGACTTGTGACTCACATAAATGGAGTTACACAACTTAAAAAATTATGAAGTGAAATGGGTTGGTTATGTGCTCTGCTTTCTTTTATTCGTGGACCCGTTTGACTCAGCTAATCTAATAAATGACCCACAATAATCCAACCTCAATCCCATCCACCCATTTGCCATATATCTTAGGTGGAATATTAAAGGTAGTTTGATTTATTTTAATGAAAAATAATAGAAGTACTTTTTGTATCAATTTTTTTATATTACTTTATATATTATTTAATAATTAACTTTTTTACTATAATTTATAATATTATATATATTAATTAATTTAATGATATATAAAAATTATATATAATATAAATTTAATTCGAAATGACGCTTCAACAGCTGTATATGTATGTGCTAGAATGAATCTTATAATATATAATCTCCTAAATAAGGTAGTAAATTAACATTGATTTCCCTATAAATTGAATAGCAGGCAAAACCCTGTTCACACATTTTGCTCTCTCTCTCTCTACTCCCTCTCCTTCCCTGTTAAGATTATTGTCCATGTCCAGGTTAATGCGAAACATGAGGCGTACAAACAATATGCACCATGATCAACTTAGGCATGCAAGGCAGGCTCGACATTTTCCTTATGGTCTGAACCATCAGATTGCCTGTAGAATATGCGGTCAGGTTTTCATGAGCAATCAAGCTCTCGTAGATCACATTCAGACTCACATAAGACAAGATGATATTGTTTCTCTATTGAGAAGACGACAAGCCATGATCCGTACTATCCTGTCCTCCCGTACAGTCCTATTTGCAAACGCTTATCGTTTCAACCTTCCCAATTCCCCTTTGTTTTCTCCCAGACAGCTCAACAACCTTCGCCGCCGCCCCTATCCACCGCCTCACGTGGACGCTCTCAACCTTACTTCTTTCATGCCACAGCTGCAACCTAACCCTTACTCCTCATCTTTTAACGGAGCCATGCCTGTTCCAGCGACAGTGCCAATATTCTCAACACAACGGTCGCAAACTACAACACTACCTCATTCTGGCTCGTTGTTCGGACCGTCCCCTCAGCTGCAAACTACAATACTACCTCATTCTGGCTCATTGTCTGCATCGTCGTCGCCTCAGTTGCAAACTACAATACCAACTCATTCTGGTAGCGCGGTACAGCACAGATCACCAGTGCAGGAGCCTCCTCTTAATGACCACGCTCGGCCATTTCTAAGTCAATTGGAGCATATGAGAGAGAACAAATACGATGAAGGTGGCTCGAGTTCCAGTGAATTAGATTTGACATTGAAGCTATAGCATCAGAAGAAGAAGATTAAGGTTTATTTCAGAAAAATGTAATTTGGGAATAGAGTTTCCTGACTCTATATTTCACTGTTTATTGTCTTGTGTCATGTTTCCATTGTGTTCACAACACTAGTTTTTAGTGTCTTAATCATTTTGATTTTAATAACTTTGTATTGCAGATTGGAATTTAAGTTTGTTCTTGTTCTACCTCCTATTATAACACCACAAGATTCCCAGCTTTCCTTTTTTTTTTTTTTTTT